GAGAGAGAGAGAGAGAGAGAGAGAGAGAGAGAGAGAGAGAGAGAGAGAGAGGGAGGTGTAGCAGGAGGAAAAGAAGACTGCTGTTGTTCGTTGCTTACAGCAATCTTCCTCAGCTGCCTTCAGCAAGGTTGACACATTTTTCTTTCCTGTGATCGTTGTGGCGACCGGGTTCATTTTTTGTGGTTTTGCTGCCACCTACTGCCTGTCATTTTTTATTCCCTGATGTTTGATCTGTTGGTTGAGCAAATATCTCCATGCAATTGAGTTTGACGAAACTCTGACAGTTATGCGGCTGGTTGTGTATGGTGCTGGTTGCAGTTAATCCACTCATCTTGTGAAGCTAGTCGTTGACTTGTTACGTGATCACATCATAGGTGCTGCACGGCACGCTTCCTTGCAGATGATAGTCCATCAATAGGGACATGCAAGTCGACACAGTACCATGCCTGTGCATTTGTGAGGAAGGGGGATTGGTGGTAGGACCTCAGAACGATGGAGAGGAAGAGAAAGAGCCTGAGTCGGACGGCAGGATTCCTATTGTAGTGGTAGTGCGGGACGGGATGTTGTGATGGAACAGTTAGTTGATCTTTGGAGCAAGAGGCGCAGGGAACGACAAGCTTCATTGCTTAGGGGTGACAATGTGGGCGCACTCAGCTGGATGAATGAATAGGTGGGCATTTTGCTTATAACGCGATGAAGGTCTGATCATGATGTTGCTCCAAAAAATGCGATTCATGAGGATAGCGATCTTCCTTTCCCCCTTTTGGGAAGATATCGTTGGAACTTTTTTTTCCTGTCATGTTTCCTCTTCTGCAAGTGAATGATGATGGAAGACAGAGGTAGACATGCAATATAAATCCGATCATGCATGTCTCGGTCGTTGTGCCTCCATTTGCCGACCCTTTGTGATTGCTCCACTCTGGTGTACTGGTTGCATCACCTTGCTTACATTTCGTTTCTCAGCCTGATGGCTGATGAATGGGGCGGTGGGACATGTGTATGTATGTACAATGCGTTGGCGTTGGAGACAAACGCGATCTCCACCAGTTCACCGAGCTCTGTATGGTGCATCGCCATTACTGCGAACGGTGAGACAGATCTTCAATTACGTTTGCGTTGGCACCGGAAAAGCAACTTTAGCGGCGTATTTGCACTCCACCGTGTCAGTGTATCCTTCTGCTTTTGTCGCGACGTTTGGTCTTGACGAGCCAGTGTGAATGACAAATTGCCGTCGTCGTTGCAGCCCTTGACAGCTGCTGGAATGTTGTTGCGCAAGTTTCAACGGCATGAAGGCAAGGGCTACTGTGGAATTATTGTGAGAACTTCGGCAGATACGATTCACGAATGCGTCTGGGATGTTTACGAGGGTGTAGGGACTCTAGGCTGCAGGCGTGGATTTTACAACCCTCTTAAATGAAGTTGGTGATCCTCGTGTGCGCCCTGGCTGGTGACAAGGAAGTGCCAGTTGTCAGATGGCTTCCTTTTATGGTGACGATGTTTGCGGTGTCAAGTTGTGACGCCCGTCATCCAATCAGTTTTAGCTCCATGCTTGACTGCATTGAGTGCTTTTTGGCATATTTTTGAGCTATCTTTACCTCAATATGGTATGCCATTAAGGGTCATATTTATTGCAATTACATCGGTTGCGGTCATATCTGTTTGGTTTAGGATATGCCATCATGGCTTTCATGAGGCCGATGATGTCCTGAGAACATCTGAAATGTTGTGGTTGTTGTTTGCAACCGTCATTCTGAAGGGGGGGAGGGGTAGAAAGCGGGGGATCCGCTCCCAGGTACAGTGCTTGCTGGAGCTTAGTCATACCAGATCTCAGGCTGGTAAAACTTTTAAAAGGGGGTTGAGTGAAGGGGGTTAGCAAGTGGGAGTCCACACCTCATAGCGATTCAGTTGGGGATGGTGAAATCTGAGAGGTAGATTTTGGAGGAGTTTGATGTCTTTGCAATGGAGCCGCTGGGCATCTTACATCTTTTACAGGTAGGCAGATTTCGGAAGGGACTGACACCTTTCTTCAACCCGACGTTGGCTTGTGCACAGTAAGATGTTGTATTCGTTTGTGCCTGCGGAGGTTGGTCAGGTAGCTAGGATTTCTTGTTGGTGTTTTGCCTTTTTGTCTAGTTTAACGGCCTATGATCTAGTCTTGGGGCAAAAGCTTTATGACCAATGCCGATCCTCTTGAAAATCCAGCAGAAGACAATTCTCTTCCATGCTGTCTGCATCAAAAGTGTCGTTCCTGCTCGGTTTCTGACAGCTCGCTTGTCAATGACTTCTGACAGCTCATCAGCAGCTCCTGCGTTTTGGAACAAACTTTCTGGCAAGCCAAGCTGGTGATGTCTTGATGTTTCTGGCTTCAAGGTGGGAAGCCACTTTTCACCCTTTCTTCTTGGGAAGCGTGCTGCTGAGTCCTTTGTGCACACACAAACAGATATGGCTGCGCTCTAGCACTCGTGACAGAACAAGAGGGCCACGCCACTGGCTTTGTATATGTTCAAGTTTGAGGAGGTTAAATGATCACATATTGCACTCCCTTGTCTTAGTGGCTGATCACAGTCGAACTGATACGCCTCTTCAGTCAATGGACAGGTGCCCGATCCCAATAATGTTCTGATGAGATCGAATGGTGGTCTGCTTGCCTGAAGGTGGGGTGTAGAGAGCACGCTCAATGTGCCTGGTCACGAGTTCCAAGCAGAGTGGCCCTGGCTCCCTGTTTGTATCCGTATGTCCTCTTGGATTGACCCAAGATAGGACTGGACCAGGGTACTGTTGCAAGGCTCACTTGCTGGTTGGGCATTGAGGAATTCTAGGTTGCTTATGCGGTCGATGAAGTTGCCTTGCAGTGCTCAGGTCTCTGACTTCAACCATTTATAACTTGCCAGAGCGCTTCGAATGTTGAGAGCTCGTCAGACAACTACGACCATTTGTAAGTATTTCTGTTGCTTTATCGATAGAGGTTTAGGCGTTTACAGTGTTTTGACCAGGACGAATCACAGTACCGGGCGGGGGGGGTGTGGGGGTGGGGGGGGAGGGGAGTGGTGGGGTGGTGGGAAGTGGCAAAGCCGAGTTGGGCTGGGAGATCCGCTACTGTGATTGCTTCTATCAGAATGGCTCCGTGGAGAGTTTCCAGTTTGAGAAGCTGGGCCAGGTCCGGAAGCCGACGGTCAAGAAGGATGGACGGTTTCCTGTCGACTGCGGAATTGATTTCTCCGAAAGGCAGTGTGACAGACGGACAAACAGTAACTCCCAGGATGGTGAGCAGCACTCCAAGAGCGGATCTCTCTGAAACTCGGTCCAGGGGCGCTGAGGGTGAAGGGTGCATCCAATCCAATCCTGCAGTGGTGAAAAGTTCATCTGCTGAAGGAGCGATGTGCTGTGCGTCTCATGGCACTGCTGATGCTGGCAATGCTTCTGCATCTACGTGGACAAACCAGGAAGGAAAATCACGTGCCAGGTGGAAGGTGGTGCTTCTTCGGCTTGCTATCATAGTAAGTTCCATTACAGAACCTCCTTGTTTTTTTTTATTCTAAAAAGACATGGTTAGTTTGTTCTCCAATGTTTTGGAAAAAGCACAAGTTCCTTTTTATTTTTGTTTCGGTCTTAGAACAGGGCCTTATGGTCCGCGCTCTATACCATATCTTGTCTAGCTTGCTCAACATGTAGGAGGGAGAGTAATCCATATGAGGCACTCGTGAAGATGTTGTGGGAGGCGAGCAGGGGATAAGCTAGTCCGTAAGGCCTCGGCTTTCGACCAACGCAAGGACGCCTCTTTGCGATAGAGTAGCAAGTGCAGGATACCTTCGGTAGGATCCTCAGGGCATACTTTGCAGATGCCTGCGCCCTCGGGACTGGATTTTCTCCGCCTTACATGTGACCAATGGTTGATTGGGAAGGCGGCATATGTGATGAGGTGTTGAAAGCTCCACATCTTCATGGGTCTGACAAGTTGACACTTCTTCCAAGGTATCCCTCTAATCTGAGAGTTGTCATTTCCAAATGTTCTGTTCGATCTTCTTTTGGTAGTAGGCGGTATGGAGAGGTAGTCTGTATTGTAATTGAGTTATTGAAATGAGTACGCCCCTATTCCTGTGCCTTGTTTAAGGTTGCACTTTTCTTGGGAGGACCATGGCCATTTGGGCGAATCACATTGCAGCTCCTATCGGGCTTTTCTGGGCTGGAATATCCGCATGGGGTCTTAGTTGATGCCTCCAACATTGCACAAGTCAGAAGGTATTAGTCGCAGTCTCTTCTGGGTAGCTTATGATCCTGGGGCGGTCAACAATGTCACAGCCCAAGTGGAAGGACAACCATTGAAAGCATTGGTCGAGTGGGTTTTCCAAGTAGATGGACTAACATGAGATTCATACCTGTGTGCCTTCCATGGTCTAAGGGCCTCTCTGCAGTACTCTCCAAATGTTTTAGATTGAGAGTGGGTGTTCAGCTAGAAGGTGGAAACAAGCACCATGTTTTTGTCTTTTTCACATTTGGCGACTGGTGGAGGGGGGCCCTCCCCCCCCCCAGTTCTGCCCTCTCCGTTCCCCGTGTTTTCACTCCTCTTTTCCTCCTCTCAGCTTTAACCGAATTTGAGAGAATGTTACTATGCTCGAGTCTTGTTGTCCCTGCAGAGCAATCAAAGACATGTCTTTTTCACATTTGGCGACTCCCCCAGTTCTGCCCTCTCCATTCCTCTTGTTCTCACTCCACTTTTCCTCCTTAATATGCTCGAGTCTTGTTGTCTCTGCAAAGCAATCAAAGACAAAAGTTGGTCACCGAGATTCCCAATTCACCAAAGTCTTCCCCAGGACACAATGCTCCATGGTCAAGAAAGGTATACTTCGGTCTAGGTGTGATGCAGTCATTATGATGGGGCTTTGTGTTCGAGAGACGAAAGTAGCAACGCAGGAGAATCAAGTTCACAATGGGAAAAAACGGAAAAAGGAAGTTCAACAAAGACTCAACTGGTGTGGTCAGAATGGATATGCCCAGGAGCAGGGTTGTCACGAGGAGAGCCCCTCAGGAAACCTGGGGCCGAGGATTGGACCCTCACAACCCTGGGTGGGGGTGGGGCCGGTGGGGTGGGGGGTCCACATTTCAGTTTTGGGGAGAAAGAAATGCGGGAAACTGCGGAGAAACAGTAGGTTTGGGGTCAACAGGGGAGCAAAAGAAATGGCGAACCCCCGGCCACCAGGAACCACCACCTGCGGGACTGCCCCCATGCCTACTGCGAACACTGCCCCTGCCTTGGTCACCTGTGCACCCCACCCTCGGCCCCACCCCTGACCTGCTCCTCAACCCCGCCTGTGCCCCTACAACTGCCGTTCCTGCCTCTGCCCCCGTTCCAACCGCCCACACCCACTCCTGAGGGCCATCACCCCGCCCATGCCCTAGGCCTTGCCCCTGCTGCTCACATTGCCGACCTGCCCTCCCAAGTCCCTGCCACCCCTGCTCCGCGGCTCCCACCCCTGCTCCACAGCTCCCGCTGCTGCACCCCTGCTGCCCCCGCCCCTGCCCCGGCCACTCTTGCCCCTTCTGTCCCCGCCGCCCCCACCCAGCCCCTGCCCCTGGCCCCGCCCTTGACCACCGCGAGTGTGCTTCGTGGCCATTACCAGGTAAATACTGCCAGGCCCGGCCACTGTCCTTCTCCCCACACCCTGAGAACCAGCGCCAACTCACTTTGTCTCCCAGCAACTATGGCTGCCGCTGGGTGGAGCTGATTACCGTGGCTTCTCCTCAGCTCCTTCCTTCAACGAGTGCTCACTGGCCTGCCGTGTGCTCTGGCAGCCGGTGCCTCCGAATGTGCTGAATGCCACAGCTTCCTTCCTTTTGTGTCTTCCAGGAGACCATGTTCTGGGCGACTGAGAATCAAACTGGGTCCTGGCCTGGGTCCCGGCCTCTGCAACTAACTCAGAGGCTGCGCCTACTGGTTAGTTGGAAAGACCGGGGTCCAGCCTTCTCTTAGGGATGGCATACTTTTCGTGCTGCGGCCTTCACTTAGGGCTGGGCTTGCCCAAGCCTGGAGCCTTGCATAGCCCCTTTTCTGCTTTTTTCCTCTCTTTGCTTCGGCGGCTGCTCCTCACCTCCTTCCTTCAATAAGTGCTCACTGGCCAGCCATGCGCTCTGGCAGGCTGCCTCTGAATGTGTGGAATGCCATGGCCTCCATCCTTTTGTGTCGTCCAGGAGGCTGCGTTCTGGGCGGCTGAGAACCAAAATGGGTCCGGGCCTGGGTCTGGGCCTCTGCAACTAACTCAAAGGCTGAGCCTCCTGGTTAGTTGGAAAGACTGGGTGGGTGTGGCATATTGTGCAGCCACACGGGCCCTGCAGGGCCCGTCCCGGACCTCCAGCCTGTTTCCCTACAGGGAAATTTCCAGGCTCTTGCCTGGAAGCTTCCTTCTGACAGGGCCTACAGGCCCCAGC